TAATTTAATGCAGTTGATCGCAATGCAGTCTGGGAAAGACAGTTGCCCCAGTGTGTACACATAATATTGGAAAAACTATTTTCATACAATACTTTTTTTCCTTGGTTTTGATTGGTTGCTTTGCATAAATGAAAAATTTCTAAAGGAAACCAAGACTCCAACAGATGCTAAGAAGCGAGAGAAAGATTGAATGACCTGTAACAGGCAATTTATTCCTGCTGACAGTAGAGAGAAGCTCTCCAACTTTCCACATCCACAGGCAGCGCTCTTCTTGTAAATAACTGGAGCTGCAACTTCTCACTTCGTCCCTGTGTCTGGCACGCCTCCTGCTAAATTCATCAAAGTAGGTTCCAAGGTTTTGGCACGTAATCGATCTAGATGACACCCCTGTGTAGGTCAATGTCAAGGTACAATACAACTGGAGAATCGTCATTCCTGACACTAGCTATGATTCAGGATTGCTCCTTAATCCTTTCCACCTTGCACAGTCCTTGAGAGGCAATCTATAACTAATAGAGGCTTGAAGATATTGAAACTGCAGGCAAATGCTTCAAATTCTGTCTTCAAGGGCTGATCAAAAAAGAAAACTGTTTCTTAGTTTTTTGCAGCTTTGGATGAGAAGATCAGTTACCACAAGCTCAATGAACTGCTGATGAACTGCCAGACAGACAATGAGACACTTTTGTTTGTACTTCACAGATTAATGGTTCTGTAAGTGTAATATTTGCTCGCTTGCCCTGACTTCATACACAACAATAAATCTTCAGATGCTATTTTTTTTAAATAAAGGAGAACTCCATGTTCTGCTTGCTAAAACAGATGAATCTGGACAACAATGAATACTGACAGTTTCAAGTTAAGTTCCTGTCCTCTGGGCAAACTGAAGAGGGACTGTTGGAGAGGGTTTAGGAAGCTGTAATAGTCATGTTTGCAAGCCAAGAGGTAAATGAAGCAGCTGAAGGAAACTGAAACCACCAGGGGTCAGTCCTGATACAGACAGTTAGGAGGCTGCTGGGCCAAACAGATTTTTCTGCCTTCTCAGATTTCTGGTGTGAAAACAGCAGTAGTTTGGAGCACAGGACAAGTTCTCAGCAAGATCCTTCGTTCCCTTCTGGTGTCCCAACTGATACGAGGAGCGAAGCCAAAGAACAACACTTTTTCATCAGCTCACGTCTGCTTTAGGATTCTGTTTTTTTCTTACCTTCTGTCTTTCAATATGCAATACACCCCGGTCTCTCCGCCCCCTTCAGTCATCAATGAGGGAATAGTCCCTAAAATGCTGCAGTGTGCTTTCCATAGGTCAAGAGCACTCCTGCATTCTAATTAGGGATGTGCCAATTAGAGCCTTCTGTATGGCACATTTTAGCTGCGATAATTCACTTAACCCATAGATCGCAACTGACAGGTACATTTGTTTACAGATGCCCACTTTGAAAGCCTGCCAGCCCTCCTACTTCGTATGATATCACTGCTTTTCTCCTGCCAATCCTCGTTCTTAACAGTGTGCCGTTTCTATGGAAATCATTAAAGAAAACAAGGAAGTCAACAATTTTTTTACTTTTTCTAACTTAACAACCTTCTATAAAATTGATAAGCTTCCGTTAAAACCAGCGTCCCGAGTGTATCTGTGATGTCTGCTGTGAAATGTATAGTAGTCGACCCTTTCATCTTGCTTTGTCTGCAGGAAGTTTTGTGCTCAAGTGTTGAGTAAAGATGTCCACAGGCCAACCAACGAAAAAAGCAACGGTGTGGTGGAGTAATTAGGGTTCCGGACTCTAGACCAGTGAGTTGCAGGTTCAAATCCTAGATGGCACGTGACTATTGATCCCTTGAGCAAGGTACTTCAGACAAGCTGTTCCCATAAAGGCCCTGCTATATAAATAATAAATGATAAATTCATTTCAGTAGACATACCTGGCAGAATAAAACAATAGTACTAAGGCAGAACCCTCTTGCACACATTTTTGTATACAAAAAAAGGTGTTCAAGATTGACTAAGAATGCTTGGAGGCCAGAAGGCTCCAGGTTCAAGTCCTGGTTTTGATAAAGGCCTCCCTGAGAACTACTTCCCTGACCCTGACTCTTATAAGCTGAAGCCCTGTTTAAATTTCCTGGAGTAATACTCATTGATGCATTTGTGCAAACTAGTTTCTTCATGTTGCTTTACATAAAAGTGTTTCCCAAGTGTCAGATAATGACATGGTTACTAATGGCTTCTTCCCAGGTAGCTTCTTGAATGTACAGGTTTATCTAAACATCATTCAAAACTGGCTTATGGTAAGCAAGCAAATTACCCTTTTCATGAACTGCATTTCAAGGACAGGGAGCTATAGAAATGGGTTTTACGCTGGTTTATGCAATGAAGTTCTATCAATCCCACTTGAATATAGAACCTTGGATAGCAAAACAAAAGACTGAAAAAATAGAGTTTTGAAGCTCAGTGAGTATGGTCCACTGCCTTAAAGGCAAATTTTCCCACAGACACACACAGAAAAACAGCCTTGATAGAAAACCCTGGAGGTTCTCTCTTTGTAGCTCAGAGGAATAATGTGAAATAGGAAAAACTAATCGAATCTCCCACACAAAGGTGTGCAGCATGAAGAAGTCAATTATTGTTCATGTCCTCATCTTATTTTATTTTTAGATGATTAAACATACACCAAAAGAGTGTGTTGTTCTTATTGGCTAGAATCATATAGTCAACCTACAGTATGCCAAGTGTGGCAGGAGTAATACCACTTACATAAAGTGGAATACAAAATATAAGTTTTCTTTCATATGCCGAATTATTTTGCATAACAAAATTAACAAGAAAAAACAGCCTAATTTTGCCTCGAATAGCAGACAAAAATATCCCCATTAGGAGAGTATAAAACCACAGGCTGTGTTTTAACATCTTTTACATAGAAAACCTTTTAGCTTACTAGCAACTAAATAAGCTAGATGGTTCCCTCATTTGTAACGCTTCTTACACTATTGCGATGTTATGAGTTGTCCTAAATTAATAATCTGTGCACCTCTTAATGTGGCGCCTCAAGTGGTCTTCTACCGGAATACATTTTTACGAGGGGGTTGGTCAAAGATCTCATTCATTTGTACAGCTAGATCTGGAAAATATAAAGATAGAGTTTCATGACAGTGTTTTCAGGAAATGAAATCTCGTTAAAATGCAATGGGAATAGGAGACTCAGTATGGCACTCACATCTTTGCTGCAGGACCACTTAGTCATCCAGGCCGATACAAGCTTATAGGATCTGATAAAGGAAGAATGCAAAATTCATTTCCTTAGAGCTCTGAATGGAGGCGTGAAGCCTCTCAACAGCAAAGGTATCTGCTCAAAACCCTTTTGACCCAGACATTATGAGCCTGAACTTTGGTCACATCACGAGACCAGGAATGGGGCGATGTCATCAACAAGTCACAGAGCTCCTCCAGTTGGGATTCACTCACCTGCAAGGCACTGTGGAGCTTGCAGCATTTAAGAAGACGAAAGGCTCTACCACGTGGGTCAGTAAGAAATGCGCGATTCCTCCGATGAACACCTGGTGGTGCGAAGCAATTCTGGAAGGAATGAACGGCTCAGGTTTTTCCAATCAACAGCTCAGTGGGGTTCCTGGATCTAATAAGATTAAATGAGGTTAAAGTCTCCATTAGAATGCAGGGACTTAATGACTTTGGCTTAATTCTATCAGATTTTATCATATGAAAGGAGTGGATGAACCCGAGAGTTTGAACTAGTGTAGTCTGTTATTATTTCAGGGCAGCAAATGAAATATGTTAATGAATCCCTCTTGGTATCAGTTTGGAAACTGTGCTACTGGGAAATTGTTTTGACCATTTCTCTTTTGCCTAATAAGTTTGTATTTCATTCATAAATAAAGGGGCAAAATTGGTTTTGCCAGTGTACAAATAACCTGTGTTACATTGTAAGGGACTAAAATGACACCCCTACAGTCCTTAGAATATCTTAAATATAAAATCCATGTGTTAGTCTGGAAAATACAGCCTTAGGCTAGACCCCTCTCTGTCTTAAGCAAAAACCATGCTAGCAGGAGATGGCCACTTCCAATACACATAAAGGTCACACTGTAGTAATGCATTAAACTGAATCACATTACTAAATTGTTTTGCCTTCTAAATCTGGCATTTATACACTGAAAATGTCAAGGCTTAAGTATGACAGCGAGCAGAGATTTCATTAGTTAAGCAGAGCTGCACCCTGCCTTTGCAGACTTTTGTAAGGGTTTTATCACATATAGGCTCAAACAGAATGTGACAGGCCAGTCGGACTGAGGTGCTTCACATTTCTAATCACTCGGAAGTCAGAGCTGTCCGACTGATTAGAAATTACCGGGACTCTGAGCCGGGGTAAAGTCAGCGTTCACTACCTCCGACAGCCTGGAAACAGAAATAGACACGTTTGGCCTTTTTAGTTTTTCTCTTCAACCTGCAGATCACTTTAGAACAGCATTTTCTACCCCATCGTAGGATGTTGGAGGCTCCTGTTTCGCTGCCTGGCTTGGAGAGCCTCCATTCTGCAGTAGTGCATAATTACCTAAATAATGCTTAAAAACAGGCTAGGCTGTCCCCCCAGCCTTGTTTATCAGCACATTACCATACAGGTTTTATTTCCGAATGGGTTTTTCAAAGAGTAGAAATGAAGTAAAACATCTGCTTTCAATACAGGCAATCAAGCCTAGAAAAACAAACACTTCAAGGACAAGACAAGATGTGTTGATGAGAACAGAGACATAATGAAGAAGTAGAACAAGAAGGATGTATCTGGATAATTATACTGTATAATGCGTACAAATGTGCACACTTTTAGGAATATTATACAGCTATTATCCCATACAGCATGCTTATATATAGTACTACAGTGGATAGGAATCTGTGTCCTTTGCTGCAGTTATCTTTGATTTCAAAGATTTTTCATTTACATAAGAAGATATGCTGCATATTTACTCATGATGTATCCTTTGTGTCTTTTTCCTTGAAGGCTCAAGGTTCAGTGTTCAGATGAGACAGATGACAACAAAGGTTAGTCCAATATCTTGCTGTTGAAGAGTCTGAAACTCTCTCCATCAGAAAATATCTTTGCTGATTGATGTGTCTGAAAGTCCATTTGATAACCAACCGTCCTAAATGCAGAGAAATTGGGAAATGGGAAATTTGGCCAGGACACCGGGGTTACACCCCTACTCTTTGAGAAACGCCCTGGGATTTTTAATGACCACAGAGTCAGGACCTCGGTTTTACGTCTCATACGAAGGACGGCGCCTGTTTACAGTATAGTGTCCCCAACACACAGGCTGCAGGGTGAGCATCCCTGCTGGCCCAACTAACACCTCTTCCAACGGCAACCTTAGTTTTCCCAGGAGTGTCTCATCCAGGTACTGACCAGGCACACACCTGCTGAGCTCCAGTGGGTTGCCAGTTGTGAGTTGCAGAGTGATATGGCTGATGGTGATGATGAAGTCATTTTAATTAAAAAATAAAGAAAGCTCTCCCAGAAATTGCCTTAAACAAAAAAGGGTGTGTGATGAACATAGAGACGAAATAAAACTAATGGTGATGCAATTTCCATTTCTGTCAAAGTATTTCACTGCTGAAGACAGAAGTTTATGGTGCATTGTTACCAGCCCGACAAAAGCCACTGAAAACAAACAAGAAGTTTCATTACAGGTTGAATAACAACAGAGAACGAGATCAGTTAACTGAAACCGTAGGGAGAGGGCGCCACCGTGTGGTTGATTCCAGCATTGCAAATATCAACTGTCCCTTCAGCTGTGTTCTGATCCTGCATCAGGGTATTATGATCAAATCAAATGATACTAGGTAAAAATAAATACATTTGATATATGACTCATGAGTCCTCAGACATTAGTACAGAAATATTAGGCTACCCACAATTCTGTCTAAATTGCGGTGACTTTGCTGGTGTTTAACTGTTTCCTTCCTGGCTCTGTTCAGGACCTGTGCACTTACAGCAGGGAGGCGGGGAGGGCCGAGCTGAGTCCGGAGGAACTGTCCCGACCCGTCTCCCCGATGCAGCTCCCAGCCTTCGAAACCAAGACGCCGCCCGCGGCCTTCGGCTCCCGCGAGAGCGAAGGCGACGGCCCCGGCGGCCAGCCCGCCGCGCGAGTCACAAAGCGGCGCCGCAAGCTGCTGATCAAGAGCGCCCCCCTCGGCCCGGCGGCCAACGCCTCGGCCCCCGGCGCGCCCCCCCCGCGGGCCGACCCGGCCGAGTGGCGCAGGCTGTCCCTGGTCCAGGAGGGCAGGAAGCGGCTGATGAAGGACGTCTGCGCCAAGTACAAAAGCAGCAGCAAGAGGACCGTGACGCCGTACCACGTGTCGAGGATCTTCGTGGAGGACAAGCACAAGCTCCTGTACTGCGAGGTGCCGAAGGCGGGCTGCTCCAACTGGAAACGAGTGCTGCTGGTGCTGGAGGGCTTCGCGCCCTCCACCCAGGAGATCCAGCACAACACGGTCCACTACGGCAACCACCTCAAGAGGCTGGACAGCTTCAACTACAGTGGCATCTCCCACAGGCTGGAGACCTACACCAAAGTGCTCTTCGTCCGGGAGCCCTTCGAGAGGCTGGTGTCGGCCTTCCGGGACAAGTTCGAGCACCCCAACAGCTACTACCACCCCGTCTTCGGGAGGCCCATCATCTCCAAATACCGTGTCAACGCCTCCCGGGCCGCCCTCCGGACGGGCGCCGGCGTGACCTTCAAGGAGTTCATGCAGTACCTGCTGGACGTGCACAAGCCCGTGGGCATGGACATCCACTGGGAGCACGTCAACCGGCTCTGCAGCCCCTGCCTGGTGGACTACGACTTCATCGGCAGGTTCGAGTCCATGGAGGAGGACGCCAACTTCCTCCTGCACCTCACCGGAGCCCCGCGCAACCTGACCTTCCCCAGCTTCAAGGACAGGCACTCGCACGAGGAGAGGACCTCCGCCCGCCTCACGCAGCAGTACTTCGCTCAGCTCACGCCTTCCGAGAGGCAGAGGGCATACGACTTTTACTACATGGACTATCTCATGTTCAACTACTCGAAGCCCTTTCAGGACCTGTACTGACGCGGGCCGCGCGCCGCGCGCCTTCCTGCACACCCTGCCGCCTGGAGGTCTCAGAGGCAGCTTCTACCTTGTTTGGAGCCTTAAATTCGAACCTTAACCCGTCGCCTCTCTGATTTAACAGCAAGAGCTGCCATGTTAGTGTCTTCGCTGTCCGTTCGGTATCATTAAGCTACATATTCAGAAAAAAAGTTTTCTTCTGCTTTCACACTCTATCTTCCAGAAGATATTATTTGCGATACACACATATGGTAAACCACAGTTATTTAAACAGCATCAGTGTTGACATTAGAGTTTTTTTAAATAACCGATTGAATACTTACTCAATCCAGGGGATTATAAATCATGGGAGACTGAGCAGTGAGGGGTGCAGCCTTTTGCACACAAGTCTCAAGTAGAAGTCATCAGCTGTTTTTTTTCTTTGTTTTTTGGGGGGGAGGGTTCGAAATCTAAACATCTTACATCTGGACAGAGCTAGGAAACATGTTAGCAGCTCGGCTCGTTCCCAGCTCCAGGATTCCAGGAGTGCCCCCGGCACACCAAACCGGACTACATCATCCTCCCTAAACAACACGGGCTGGCCCTTGTGTTGTCATTTCAGAGCCGACTCTTAGGAAACATGTTTATCAACACGGCACCAAACGTGTTCTCAGAGCTCTGGGTACAACACTCCCTACTGGAAACTTAAAAAAAAAAAAGAAATTCATATATATATATATTTTTATATGTATTTATACAATCAGTGTAGCACAATCCCATTATTCCTTGACGTTTGTGACTCTAACAGTGAAATACGGTGCAATTTATTCTGTCCTTTTGGGTTTTCAGGTGAACTCTGACCACAAACCCAACCATAGAGTGTTAATGTACTGCAGTATTGGATAAAACCAAGCTATTTTTAATGTCATGGTTATGTCAAATAGTTATACTACTCAATTAACTGTGGGGAACTATTTACCACTATGATGAGAATGAAAGGGCAGTTTTTTCCCTACATATTAGCAAGCTACAGTAACTATGTTTCACACAGGAAATAAGGTAATATGAGAACTACACAGTTTTCAGCATTTTGATGGCTTGTCTGCAATTTTCACTTAAAGTACAGAAGCAAATTATCCTATGTATTTTAAAAGGCTGATGGTTTATATTGAGAAAATGAATGCCTGTGTCATTTTGACCATTAAATTGTCATCACTATAACATGGGTTTATAAAGGCACAGTATATCCAGTTTCAAAACAGTAAGGGAGATATTTAATTTGCAGCAGGTGAGCAGATCCGGTCCAGACCTTAAGCGAACCAGCAAGGTTTGAACCAATTCTGCATCAAAAGAACTAAATTCCAGCATTTTCAAATGCAGCCAATAGCAATGTGCCCCTATCACAAAAAAACTAAAAATGATCTACCTAACCCGATGCAATGATGGGACTGAAACAGTAAAATAACTGAAAGAGACTCGCGTGCTGCTCCTCCCCTGAGGGCCTCCTGCCCAGACATCACTTGCACTTCAGCCATCTTCTATCTCACACCTAAAACAAATACTACAGAGATTATATAGAATAACCTGGCTATTAATATATTATTCTTTACATAAGATAACAGAAAAAGATTCCTTATCATAAATATTATATAGAAAAAGATTATTTTAATGGAGATTAGTTTTGTGTAGTGGACTGACTTCAAAGTTTCCTTTGTTTTGCATCTTTTGTTAGTTTCTGTGCTGATTGTGTTGCGGTTAAGAGGTGTAAAATGGATGTGACTTTAATTTCGCCTGTAAAGAGAAGTACAGGATGGTCTGACTGGTGCCAGTGTGGTGTGCAGGTCAATGTGGACATACAAAAATGTATCCAGTAAACAAGTGAATGTAAGATCCTTTTTATTGTCTGTGCACAAGTGTACATCTAAAATTCCACTCTTTGCCTTATTTTACACCAACAATTATCAGGTGTATCAGGGAGACGTTCAACAGTGGGTTGACATCTCTGCTACAACTATAATGTCTACAAATAAATGTTTCCAATTGTCTTTAACTTTTTCACACGGTCGTTTCGCTTGTTCTTCTTCACACGAATGACCAGACACGTTAAGGTGGGGATCCCCCAGTCATAGTACTCTGGGGATACTATCCAAACGTGTGCCCCCGGTGCTCTCTTAATCATCGGTAGCTTTCAACCCGTGAAGAATGGCTCGACTGGCCCCAAAAAACCTTAAGCGCACTGAGCAAGGTTTTAATCAATTCCCACCTTTTCCTCTTGGCCAGAAACTGGCCACGTGTAATTGAGAGACGTGTAAGGCTCCTGTGTGGATTAGCTCGCTCAGATCGCAAGGTCACCCCACCATGTGCCGCACACAGCAAGAGCTCAAGCCTCAGCTGTAGAAAGCAGAGCCGCACAATTGGAGGCACAGCACTGAGGTGTGTCAGTTTGCCAGGGTGTCCCCCAGATGTCGCCAGTCCCATGACTCGCCAGGGACGCGCCGGCTGGCGGGGCCATCGGCCAGACCACGCGCAACTCCCCCTGCCCCTGGCGCGGCTCCACTCGGGTCACTGGCAGCGCCACTCGCTGGACAGCGGATGAATGCGCCACACCTAAAGCACAGGTCCTCCACCACCTGAGAATTCAACACAACACCAGTGACAAATACGGCTCTAGTCTCCCCCGGCCAGAATTCGATTACCGTCACTAGTGGCCCCAAGGCACACAGCACCACTATGTAGTCTACAGTATATAGTCTATATAGCACTATAGCATATATACCACTATATAGTCTCCTGGTCTGCTCTACAATCTACAGCAGAGTTTTACACTGTGGGTGTCAGAGAGGAGGCAGCGACATCGCTTCTGTAACCCCGAGTCCGGTTACTCCACCTCTCCTGCAAGGCAGTGTGGAGCTCACACCAGGTGCGAGGGCGAACAGCTCCGACGGGCGCCTGGGACTGAGAAACCTGACGGCGGGTCCCTGTCCAAATCGCACACGGCTCCGAGTCAGAGCGCTGAGCCGGGCGTCAAGAGCGACTGGCAATTACAACTTGGCGTGTTTAATTACAAAGTCTCTTCATTTTTTATCACAAAAGAAAAAGATTAAAGCTTGCAGAGTTGAGATCCTGGAGCTGGACACCCTTAATTTAGATGACAACACCTGAACGACTTATTGCCTCTAACAAGACAAAACCCACATGAATAGGAAAGGCTCCATACACTCAGGAGATCTCTAAAGACTGTGAAAACATAGTCCCTTGTGTCTGTCTTATCTATTTAACAGTATCTGTTAGACTTAAATTTACTGAGGGTGAAAGAAAACCAGTCTTGTATCTGCAATGTAGCAAACAGATATTTTTGGGTTTGTTTCAACCTTTGGCGAGGACAAGAGGAATTCTGGACAACGTTCTCAAAACAGGTAACAAAACTACATTACAATATCAAAAACTATGTGTGGTTATAGTGGTAAAGGTCTGTCATGTAAAGAAGGCAAAGAAATTATAGGTTTTAGTAGAATCACCACCAATTACCACCATTGAAGGTCATTTCAGCTTGAAATTTGTTAATCTTTTTATCTTTACCAACTAGGAGGTGTCCGAAACATAGAACGAGTGAAACGAATGAATCCAAAATACCCAAATTTTAAAGATATATCCAAGCAGCAGCTATTGTTTGAGACACATGGATTCCTGGCAGACATGAACAAGTTACCACATAATATAATGACAAAATGTTATACAACATAAAACAAAAAATGTTTTTTTACAAAACAATGCGTCTCAGAAGTCAAAATTCTGCAGATCGAGAAAATACAGAATGAGAACTCTGTAACTTGAAAGACTATACATTGCATTGACAGGCCAACGAGAGATACACATTGCAAACTAAGTAGAAGAATACAGCACAGCTTTAAATCTCCCATCCTTTAACATGGATGCCCAAAAGTGAATGGGAATAGGGAATCTATCTCCCTATTCTAAAGATGCATCACCTAATTAGGAGAGAACGTTTTAAGCCTGAGGGTTCCCCAGTAAAGGAAATCAATTTCCTAAAAATAAAAAGACACCAAACTCCCTAAAAGCAGGTTCACATTACATAGCCAGAATCTGGTCTCCAAGACTGATCAGAAGAAGGTCCTCTCACCTGGCACCAACATAGAGCAAGAGGTGGATGATGCCCGTCTCACACTCTTCTTCCGTTTGATCCCTGTGACCCTCATCTCCTCTATTCCCTCTCTTTATGCTAAATTTATGTGTGTTGAGATTTTATTCTTTACCACGATTGACCAGAGTAATTCACCAGAAAATTCCACTGGTTCATGGTTCTCTCAGCCCTCCAACATAGGCAATGAATTCTATTCATTGTTTTTAGGATGTTTAGGCTATGATACTAGACTTTGATAAGTAGCTTGTACCATTATAAATGTATAGTCCTTATATCTTTTAGTTTATTTTCTCCATTCAGAATTAAATCAAACCATGGTTTGCCTAAACACAGTTCATACGTGAGTTTTAAGGAAAAGGCATCAAACTGCCTGTCAGCGTCTAAATATAATTTCCCTATTGATAAACTGTCCTGCTCTCGAGCTCCTGTCACTTAGGAAGGAGCAATGACATTAGTGACTGATCTGCTCTTCTGAATAATCGACCTGCTAAGTGTCACACTGAGCACTGGGACACTGGGCTGGAGAGAAGAGGAGTCAGAAGAGACATGACAGGACGTCAGATTTGCTCTCAGTGTCATTTGAAAACTTTGACACTCAAAAACAGCCACCTCAAAGCTCACTCACAGTAACAGACAGGGGAGCTCTTCAGCTCTTGCATCACACTTGGATGTTGAAAGTCACCTAAATGACAATCTCGCAAAGAAAATCTATACAAATTCTGTTATGGAAAAGTTTCCACAATATTGCATAGCCCCGTAACCACTCTGCCAAAACACATCTTCACCCACTTTGACCGATTTGAATTTATTACACACCTCAGCAGATTCTCTTTTAACATTATTATTAAAACCCATTTCTGGCTCTTTAAATACCTGTTACAGTCTGTAAAAAATACATTCCCCATGTCAATACCCGCAGTGTTTCAGGATGCAAGGAACCCTTGTGCAGAATTCTGACTGCCCATATTTTTCAGCCAGAGCCTGTGGAGTGTTTATACACTGTGAGGCTGGCCTGGGTCAGGGACTCATGTCTCCTGGGAATGCTGGGAAGACAGAGAGCCTCCAAGGCAGCACAATCCGTGGTCTCCAGAGACAGAGCTGCTGCAGAGCATGAGGGGAAGGAGGCAGAACAGAGAAAATCAAATGGGAGAGTTGCTTTACTTCAAATAAATAGGTAGCAGAGGAGGGTCAGGAAGAGGTGGAAAAAGGAAAGCGGATTTCCTGAAGTAGAACAACATTTCCAAATAAAGTTAACCAAGTGCCACTTGTTTGTGCATCGTTAGATCATAGCAGAGACACTTTCCTAGAATTCATCACATGAGTTGGGAGGCAAAGAAAAGGAGGTTAACTTTTTTTTGATGCCACATTGCCAAGCAATTTGGAAAAGCCAGTCGGTTCTTTTTTATGTCTTGGGTCACAGCGACAACTCTATAAACCTTGACGGACTCTCTTTCAATCTTAATATTAACAACTTTTACCTGCTCTCTCGGTACCTGTTACAGTTTCTGCCCCAGACTGCTCTTACCAGTTCTCACCAGTTGATCCATTTTCATTTTTTTTATTACACCCAACATAGTCAAGCCCTCACGGGCGATATCAGCCACTTGTGCATGCTCAGCCCCCAGGGTAGTGTTCACATATCCTTGTTAATAATGTGGGAAATGAGTGGCTACTTCTTGGGCTCCAGTCACATTGGCTATGTCTACTACTTTTGAAATGACTGTGCTCCTGTCCGGTTATCTTCCTGAATGATGGTTCATCCCCCGTTACAGCAGACACTGATCTGGAGGTCAAGCCAGAAAGACAGTGGCTCTTCCCTGGCAGCTGTGCACACAGATCCCTGGAGGCTGCTGGTCCTCTCTGTCCCCAATATTACCGATATGGTGCTCCTCACAGAGGTGGCCCATGATGCCCCGCAAGAGACCGTCCTGCTATCTCTGTGAGCTCAAGCACAAACAGCTCTGCACTCTTCCACTCTGAGTCGGGCTCATGAGGTCTGGAAGGGGGAGAGAATCCGTTTTGGTTCCAACTGATCCTAGAAAAATAATAATATACAG